GCTCCAGGGAAATCCTACACAGGGTCTCTCACTATGACTTAGAACCAACTTAACAATAGGAACAACAATGACTGTTCTGTTTTTAGGCTTTTGTGAAACTGCCGAAGTGTTTTTCCCAGTGTCTGTACTATTTTGCATTTCCACCAGCAATGGATAAGGGTTCCAGTTTGCCCACATCCTTGCCAACATTTGATGTTTTCTGTATTTTTTTCCCCTCTTTATCTTAGCCATTCTTAGTGGGAATGAAATAGTATCTCATTGTGGTTTTGATTTGCATCTCTCTGATGGCTAATAATGTGAGTAATTTTTTTATGTGCTTGGGAGGCTGCTTGAATGCCCACTTTGGTGAAATGTCTATTCAAATCCTTTGCCCTTTTCTGATTGGGTTGTCTTTTGTTATCAGTTTTACATATATTGATTATTAGATTCTTGTCGGATGTATGGTTTCTGAAGATACTGTCTCAGTCTGTAGCTTGTCTTTTCACTTTTTTGGTAAAATCTTTTGATGAACAGAAGTTTTAAATTTTTATGAGGTTCCACTTATTTTGTCTTTGCTGTTTGGTACTGTGAAACTATCCAATAGTAAAAGTTAGGTCTGACAACATTGCTCTTGCTTATCCTTTTAAGAATTTTAGTGGGCTAGTTTGTTCATGTCATGCTCTGACTTGCAGGATAGACTGAATCAGCCCAGTAATGATGCAAACCCAGTCATATGCACACCCTGGACCTTGTGAGCTTGGGTTACAAGCTCCTGGCTTCCTGAGGACCAGATGTTCACGGAAAAAGTGCCATCAACCAGGTCTCCATGGGACACAGAGGTCGAGCCATCTCTGCTTGTAGAATACAATCCCCATGTTGTTGTGTGTCATCAAATGGGTTCCAACTCTTAGCAATCCTGTGTAGGGTTTCTGAGAACAGCTGGTTGGTTGGAACTGCTGACCTTGGAGCTACCAGTCCAATGTTTATTCTATAGTGCCACACCAGGATTCCATAGCAGACTCACTGTTGTTTTTAAGTTTATGCTCAGTAGTTTGGGTAACTTTTTAAAAAAAAGTAAGTTTCTTCGTTTCTTTAACCATAACTTGCTGGAGAAAGATAAGGCTGTCTGCTCCCATAAAAGATTGGAAGTTATCGGAAACCCTGTATCAGATGGCTATCAAGCAGAATTGACTCAGTGCCAGTGGGTTAGGAATTCTGGGCCCTCCTGAATCAACAGTTGGATTGTGTTTTAATAAGTTCTTTGAAGATTTGATGTTTGAGACTTAGAAGCTTTTCCTGGACTCATTAAGAAAAGGAATATTTATCTTAGTACCCCCAATATTTAGTCTGTTTCTGTTACATACTATATATTTAGATAGACTGTTTTAATTTAATAATTTAGATGCCCATAGTAGTCTATAATCTTTTTGACCCATAATATCTCTATTTTCTTGCTGAGGAGGGGTTAAAAGTTTGATTTGAGCATATGTTTAAATCAATATGTAAGAAATTATCAGCTATACTCAAACTTGTTTTGAGAGTTTGGTGCAAGATAGCATTGTTTAATTTTAGTAGTAGAAAGTATTTAAAAATATATGAATGCAAGTATAAGATGGAATTTAAGAGAAACTTGGAATGAATAAATGTGATCAGGAGACAGTGTTGTGATTTAGCTCCAAAGCCGCTTTGGAATCAAATTTGAATCCAGTCTCTTGCACAGTTTTGTCACTAACTAGGAAGTGAGAGAATGATTTCTGCACACATGTGGGGGAATAACATTCTAGTGAGAGGTAAGAGCCATGCAGAATCCTGAGGTGTTTGAGGAACAACAAGGAGACCATTGTGGCTAACATGGAGCAAGGGGAGAATTATGAGATCTCAGAGAGATAGCAAGGGGTCACAAGGGGGCCTTGTTAGGTCATTGGAAGGACTCAGGCATTTGCTCTGTGTGAAATGGGAAGGTATTAGAGAGTTTTGAGCAGAGACGTAGTAATAAGATCTGACTTAACTTTACTGCTAGGATCAGGGTGATAGGGGTAACGATGGTCAAAAGTGGTTTGGATTCTAGGTATATCTTGAATCTATATTATAAAATATGGTATACATTGCTTTGTGAGAAAGCAACCAAATCCCTATGGTGTGTGGGTAGTGAGTAGTGTTCTTGCTTATCTGCACTTGCCCTTGACATCACTAATTGTGTTGTCTCTTCTTAAATCATTATTGTTCTAGCTACCACGTGTAAACTTCAGAGTGCCAGAGTAACGAAAGTTTAAGTTTTGATTACTTGATAGTAGTTACTAGTTACTTATGAAAAGTTAGATTATATGAATAAGAATGTGAGATCGGGATTGGAGGAAGACTCACTAACAACCTGCAATATACATGCAGATGATACAACCTTGCTTGCTGAAAGCGAAGAGGACTTAAATTACTTACTGATGAAGATCAAAGACCACAGCCTTCAGTATGAGATGCACTTCAATGTAAAGAACACTAAAATCCTCACCACTGGACCAATAAATAACATCAGTATAAATGGAGAAAAGATCGAAGTTGTCAAAACTTCATTTTGCTCAAATCAACCATCAACACTAATGGAAGCAGAAGTCAAGAAATCAAATGATGTATTGCATTAAGCAGTCTGTGTACATGACCTTTTTAAAGTGTTCAAGAACACAGATAACAGTTTGAGGACTAAGGTGCACCTGCCCCAGGTCTTGGTATTTTCAGTAGCCACATATGCATGTGAAAGTTGGACAATGCATAAAGAAGACCTTAAAATTAATACATTGGAGTTAAGGTGTTGGAGGGAAATATTAAAAGTACCATGGACTACCAGAAGAACAAAAAAATCTGTGTTGGAAGAAGTACAACCAGAATGCTCCTTAGAAGCCAGGATGGCCAGACTTTGTGTCTCATATTTTAGACATGTTCTCAGGAGGAACCTGCCCCTGGAGAAAAAGACATCATGCTTAGTAAGGTGGGGTCAGTGCAAAAGAGGAAGACCCCCCAGTGAGATGGATTGTCACAGTGGCAGCAGCAGTGGGCTCAAATGTAGCAACCATTGTGAGATTGGTGCAGAACCAGGCAGTTTTTTTTGTTCTGTTGTGCATAAGATTGCTGTGAGTTGGTACCAAATCTATGGCACCCAACAGCAAGAGCAACAACCACCTATGAGATAGTGAGCAGTTGAGGTCTATTGGTAATTCTTGCCTTTCATGTGGGAAACCCAGGCTCAGTTCCCAGCATGTACTCAAGCACTGTCACCACCTGATTCTGTGATGCTGAACAAGTTTGAGTAGAGCATCCAGACAAAGACTAGAAAGAATGACCTGCTGATATAATTCCCAAAATTGGCCAATGAAAACCCTATAAATCACAATGGTTCATTCCTGTTGTGTGCCAGGTTACTATGAGTTGGGACAAATTGGATGACCTGTAACAATACCTGTGTTCTGAACAGAATGCTGTAATCTTTTGTAATTCTCTGCCACTGACAGAATTGGAGACTGACTGGTTGGCTTGACTATGTGTGTCTTAGGCTGGGTTCTCTAAAGAAGCAAAACCGAGAAAGCTTCTTGTGTGCTGTCGAGTCATTTCAGACTCATAGAAAACCTGTATAGGATTTCTGAGGCTGTAAAATCTTTATCAGAGCAGAACACCTTAGTTTTCTCCTGAGGAGTGGCTGGTGGATTTGAACTGCTGACCTTGTGGGTCATAACCAACATGGCACCAGGCCCCTTATTGAAGCTTATATATGTATATATAAAAGGAGGTTTAGATCAAGGAAATGGCTCAGATAGTTGGAGATGTGGGCAAATCCTAAGTCTGTGAGTCAGGTATCAGGCTAGAGGCTTCTGATTTACGTAGCTGAAGGGCTGATGGACCCAAGATCAGCAGGGCAGACAACAGGCATGCAGGTTGAACAGGAAATAGCAAGCTGCTGTGGACGACTAGGATCAGGAGACAATAGAGAAGGCCACTGGCTCAACTCCAAAGAACTGGAAGTTGGATGATGAGCTAGGTGCAGTATCCAGACCCAGCAAAGCAAGCAAGTTTTGCCTGAGTATCCAGTAAAGTGGACGCTTGCCACACCTCCAAGGAAATTTCCTTTCAGTTGATTGCCTGCCCATAGCAGATCTCATCATGGAGTTGGTTGCATTATATTAGATCTCATATACCTTAACTGCCAAACCACTAGGAATCCTGGCCCAGCGAAGCTGACACAAAACCTTAACTGTCACAATGTGTTGTTTATTTTATTAATCTCTCTGTGTTCTAGACTTAAGCGTTTTTGTTTGTTTTTAATTGGACAGCTGCACATTTTTTTCTGTTGTTGTTAGGTGGGTGGTGTTGAGTTGGTTCTGATTCATAGTGACCCTGTGCACAACAGAACGAAAACTGCCTTACACCATCCTCACAGTTGTTACATTTGAACCCATTTTTGTTGCCACTTTGTCAATCCATCTCATTGACCGTCTTCCTCTTTTCACAGACCCTTCACTTTACTATGTAGATGTCCTTCTTTAGGGACTGGTCCCTCTGATAACATGTCCAGCGTACAGGAAATGAAGTCTCATCGTCCTTGCTTTTAAGGAGCATTCTGACTATACTTCTTTGAAGATAGATTTGTTTGTTCTTCTGGCACTTCATGGTATTTTCAATACTTTGAACATTTTTTTCTGGGCATCTTTTATTAAGTGGAGAAAATCTATAATGGTCAATGAATTAAACTCTTCAGAGTAAATGAGTGATGATAACTACCATTTACTGGGTTCCTACTATAGGCCGGGAACTGCTAGGTGCTTTACTTAGAGATTACATTAGATTGTGGAGGATTGGGGGGAGGGGGTTGAGAAGGTGAGATTCTCTTATGAGGAAAACCTCCTGATTTTGTTTCTCTACTTTCTTTCCTCCAAATAGTTCTTGATAATAGGTTATATGATTAAGAGCCATGTTTAATTAGAATTCAGTGGCTTAAAAAATATATACATTTACTGATGTCACATTTGTATTTGTAGGAGCTGACTGAGGCTTTGGAACAGAAACCAGACAATGCACAGTATTATTGCCAAAGAGCTTATTGTCACATTCTTCTTGGAAATTACTGTGGTAAGTTTTCTTATGAAAGTATATTGTGTCTGTAGGGATCGAGTCATACTCTGAAGAGGGGAAATCATACTAAGATGCTTGACTGTCTTATGAATATTGGTTTCCCTTGTCTACTGTTGTAAAATAGTCACTTGAGTGGAATAGAAAGGAATGTCGGGAAGCATGATTACAGAAAGCTTGTAAGCCCATCTTCAGCCTATAACTGATTGGAATACCTAAAAGGGGTTCTAGAACTTGCCCAGTGAAATAGGCCTCTTCTGGAGCCTTTGCTGTGTATAG